TTCCTTCCTTCCTTCCTTCCTTCCTTCCTTCCTTCCTTCCTTCCTTCCTTCTTCCCTCACTGTCTTTCTCTATCTTTTCACTCAGAGGCTTTGCATCTCGGCATACAACATCAGTACCACAGCAAAACTTGGAACAGCAGCAGGGACTAGATGCTTCCTCCACACCAAGAGCTTCCTAAAATTTACCTTGTCCATCCCTTGACACCGCGCTTGACCCTGCTGTGACTAAACCAACCTAGACTCTACCTGGCCACCTGGGGGCAGTGTTGTCATCCATTTGGCTAATTACCATATCTGGTTTACTTTCTACTGTATAGGTTTATGCCACAGTCCTGGAGCTGGAAGGGAGGGAGGACTGAAGGCAGTACTGTGGTGTGGATGCTGCCCAGTTCTGGGCTAGTTCCACCCAAGGCTGCAGAGGTTTGCAGTTTATGCTTGCAACATTATGTATGTCAGTTAGCTGGTGGAGAAACATCCTTCAGGTTCATTTGAGAAAAGTCTCCTGAGAAGATACTCAGTTGACTGCTGGAGATACAGATTGGGACTTTGGGGGGAAATTAAGAGTTAGTGGAGTCAGTTTAGTTCTTTTCTAGTAGAAAACAATTGCCCAGACATGAGCCGCCACAATAAACTAGTCACCTTGACTAGAACTGTAAACAGCCTGCAGAAGGGCAATTGCCAGACATCTGCTAAAAGGAAAAGACCATGGTCCTCTTAAAGATCATGTCTACCTGGTGACACTCCTCCTAACACTGTTTTCCCTTTGCACTGGCCACAGAGTTGCTCAGCACAAATTCTGCAGAGTCCCTGAAAAATGTGCTCTTCACCTAAGTTCTATGCTAGCTCAAGAGACAGGTCTGCACAGAGAGGCCTTCTAAAAGGGTCCTGTGGGTCTGGAGAGAATGAAGCTCTGATCCATGCACATGTATTCAGGAAAGTGGAGGCTGGAGTTGTTCAGGTTTTTGTTGCAAGGTGACCTATAGGTGTGCTAATGATTTCAAGTTGGTTAAAAAAAAAAAAACACTGAATAACCAATCACTTTTGAGGGTGTCCCTGCCTTTGAAAGCACAACTTCACAGATAAAGTAGCTGTGTAATAATGGCGAATCCTTAGCTTAACTGTCTCGGAATCTGGAGTTCTCTGAAGCCACTGAGGGATGTTCTAATTGTGTGGATGAGCCTAAAGCACATCTCCCAACAGCTGTAACTAACAGCAGCGGCTTCTGTGGCCTGTGTCCACCATGTGCACCGTGACTTAGCTCAGCGCAAGTGACATGGATGGATTTTTATAGCAGAAATTTGTCAACTCCTGAGCTTAGTGTTTCCCCAAAACAGCAGCCCCAGTGCTTTCTTTAAAACAGGTCAGATGAGGCATGGTGTCAAAAGCCAGCTCTCAGGAGGCAGAGGCAGGTTGAACTCTGTGGGATGGAGGTTAGCCTGATCTACAGAATGAGTTCCAGTTACAGGACAGTCAAGGCTATATAGTGAGGCCTTGTCTCAAAAAAAAAAAAAAGTCACTCTGTGGAGTATAGTGGTGGAACACACACCTAGCACTCAAAAGGCTGAAGCAGAGGATTTTAAGTTTGAGGCTAGCCTGGCCTACATAGTACTAGGGAAGCCAAGGCTAAATATCAAAACCCTGTCACACACAGAGAAAAAGCCAAATGACTGATTATGTCATCCCAGAGTTCAACTCTGAAACATCTTCTCATTTACCCAGAGACAGACCAGTGACCTCCAAATGCCCTATACCCTTGTCCAGGGACCAAGAGCTATAGCATGTTTCTTAGTATGTATGCCCAGCTCCACGGCCTGTTGTTTTACAAGTAAAACAACAGAAAATCCTGTCTGTTTCTTATGGTGTGAAGGGCCAGTAAGATGGCTTAGCAAGTAAAGGGTCTTGCTGCCAAGTGTGATGGCCTGAGTTCAATCCCTGGAACTACATGGTGGAAGGAGTGAACCGACCCTAAAAGTTATCATCTGACCTCCACACGCATGCCATAGCATATGTACTCCCCACATACAAAACAAACAGATACTGAAGAAAAGTTAGTGGCTGGAGAGATGGCACAGTGGTTAAAAGCATTGGCTCTTTTTTCAGTGGACCAGAGTTCATATCCCTGCACCCACACTGGGCAGCACAAACACCTGTAAGAGCCACTCTGGAGCACCTAATGCCTTCTTCTAGCCTCCTTGGGCACCTCCTTGGACATGCACATACATACATACATACATACATACATACATACATACATACATACAAATAAATAATTTTTTAAATAAAAAAAGGTCTGAAAACACAGATTTTTATCTGATTTTCTCTCTGCTAGTGTTATAGAATTAACTTGCCTTCCCAGTGAGACATCATGTCAGCACTTAATAAGGGAAAACTCTTATTTATTTATTTATTTATTTATTTTTGGGAAAACTCTTTTTTTTTTTTTTTTTTTGGTTTTTCGAGACAGGGTTTCTCTGTATAGTCCTGGCTGTCCTGGAACTCACTCTGTAGACCAGGCTGGCCTCGAACTCAGAAATCCGCCTGCCTCTGCCTCCCAAGTGCTGGGATTAAGCGCCACCACTGCCCGGCGGGAAAACTCTTAATAATAGCAGGTGACTGGTTCTGGCTAATGCACAAAAGGGAACCAGCCCTGCCCCAAAATCCCATCAGCTTACATAGTTTCATGGCCCTATGTTACACTTCGCATCATAAACATGCTTCACATAGCTAGTAGGACAAATGGAGAGGCTTAGATTTACAATGTAAAATATTGTCATAGTTATCCTGGGGCAAACCAGGGCTTCTCTTCCAATGCCGTTGCTAACCAAGGCCATCCTGCCTGGCTGGGAAGAATTATGCTATTTCTGCTAAGAGAACCTGGTAATGAAGGGTCAGAATTTACTGGGTGCCCTGACCCACAGCTGCCCACTTTGAACTGCACTACAGAGGCATGCTCTTTGGAATTTGAATGAGTCTAGTGACCAACTGTGTACTAGGAGTGTCTCCTTTTGTTATGGATAGGACCTAATTGAAGGCAATCCTAGTGAACACATCTTAATAGAAACAAACACTCAGCAAACCTACACTTCAATTATCTTCAAGAACAACTGTTTCCTCCCTGCAGTTTCTACAGAGCAGGGTCAGTACTTGAGCACTGCTTTAACTAAATTCTACTTTGTGTAACTTAGTGATTCCTAAACAAGCTTCCTATCCTCAGTTTACCATTCTAGTTTCTCCTGTATCACTAGTTCAAGCCCCTCTATGGCCCCTCTATGGCCCCTCTATGGTCCCTCTGTGGTTCCTCTATGGCCCCTCTATGGTCCCTCTGTGGTTCCTCTATGGCCCCTCTATGGTCACCATCGAAAGTTGCCATATTACTTGTAGCCCCTCACTTCAAAAGTTGAAATCTGTCTCCCCACTTTGAATCTCAGTGTGGTTTTTTTTTTTGGTTTTGTTGTTGTCTTGTTTTAGTGTATATAGGTGTTTTGCTTACATAGAAATGTATGTGTACCATATACCTATGCAATGCTTGAGGAGACCAGAAGAGGGCATGAGGCCATCTGGAACTAGAATTATGAATGGTTTTGTTGCCATCATGTGGATTCAACCCAGGTCCTCTGGGAGACCAGCCAGTGTTCTTAATGACCAAGCTGCCTCTCCAGCTCCAGCTTACCGTGGAATTATTTTTATACCAGCAGTGGTTTGCCTAGGTTCCTCTCCTGGGCCTCCCAAGGCTGTCATCATCAACACTGCCTCAGAACTTCTCTATCAGCCAGAGAAGAAGCCAGGGATAGACTTCTGGGATAGACTACGTGGCCTCAGCCACCCTTATTGCTCCCACTGAGGTCCCAGACAGACAATGAACCCACCCCAGATGATCCCCCACAGCTAAGCCTACGTTAGACCTCAAGAACCACTCAGTAAAATCATGAGAAATAACAGGTGTTTGCTGTTCCAAGGAACTCAATTTCAGAGTGGTTTGCTATGCAGCTAAATGAACAAAATTTGATAATACATAAATGTGCATACTTACTAAGTTAATAATTGTTGGGTTCAGTAGTGCACACTCAACACTCAAGGCAAATTTACTAATGCTTGAGGCCAGCCTGGTCTACATAGTGAGTTTCCAGCCACATCAGTAAGTCAGTCAGCCCTTGCTCAGTAAAACAAAATAGCAAAGAATCTCACCAAACATAGAACCTGAGAAATGTGTTAAGTCTGATTTGAGACCAGGCCTGATTAGCTCTGGCTGGCCTAGAACTCACTCTGTGGACCAGGCTGGTCTTGAGCTCACAGAGATCTGCCCTCTGCCTCCTGAGTTCTGTGATTAAAGGTGTGTGCCATTATGTCTAGCTTTTTTTTTTTATTTAAACTTTAAAAAAGAAGTGTGTATGTGTATGCATGTGATGTGGCTCAAACTAAAGCCATCAGTCTCAGGCAAGATGGTCTCAGCCATCTTTTTCATCCTGGTTAGATCTTTTCATTTGTTTTGCAGCATCTCGCTGCCACAGTCTAGCTTTCAGAACACCAGCCAAAAGCCACCTTTATCGTCGTGGGTTCTGTGAGAACACTATAGCCTTGAAAAGTCAGGTAGCCTCACTTGCAGTTTCCTCTTCTGAGACTCAGTCCCTTCCTCCCCTGAAGGGCTGCAGCGAGGAGAGAAGATGCGTGTAAAATGCACACAGGTATCTGGCACACAGAGTACTCTGGTCTGTAAGAATCCAAAATCTCCCAAATCTCATTTTCAGATTAGGGATAATTAACTCTCAAATTTCATAGAGATATTCCCAAAATTCCTTTCAAGTCAGAACACTTTCAAAAGTTCCTCTCATTTCATTTTATGTATATGACGAGTGCCTTTATTTATGTGTATGCACTGCATGCATATCTGTGCCCTCCATGTGTGTCTGGTGCCCTCAGAGGCTGGAAGAGGGTTCTCGATACTCCGGAACTGTAGTTACAGCTGTAAGCTATAGGAGAGTGTGGGGAACAGAATCCTGGTCTAGCAACTGCTCTTAACCATTGATCCAGTTCTTCAGCCCCTGCAACACCAAGCATTTAGGACAGGAACACTAGACTTGTATGGCTATTTCTCCTACAGTAAAAAGAAATCACTGACCAGATTTAGAGGTTTAACTGCCAGACGTCCTATAAAGACAAACTAGTCCTGAATAAAATATTCAAAAAGAGCCTTGTAGATCCGTGAGCTGTAGTACCAGTTACTGTTTCACATACATTCAAGATGTTTCTTTTCAGGGACTAAGTTTTCAGAGTGCTTGCTTATCAGGCAAGGAGTCCTGGGCTTGACTTCCAGTACTTGAGATGATGGTGCATGCCTGTAATCCCAGCACTTGGGAAGTAGAGGCAGGAGCTTCAGGAATTCAAGGTTATCCTCGGCTACTTATCAAGTTTGAGACCATTGGACTGAGTGAGACCCAATTTGCTGAGATGTGACATGTTGCCCCTTGTCCACGAGGGGGCGACAACACGTTTCATAATTAGGGCCACATTCCATTGCAGGCTGTATGCACCTGCCACACAGGAAACTATTACCTTAATTTTATTGCTTTAATTTAGCTGTGAAAGGCAGGCTTTTAAAGCTTGTTCATTTTGCACTTACAGTTATTAAGAGGTTTCTTTGTTCTCTTTAAGGTATTAAAAGAACTCACAATGTGTATTTCCAAGACAGCCAGCCCTTGAAAATTCTCTTTGAAAAGAGCTTGTGTGCGAATATCCTGATGATTAAACCAAGGTAAAGGGTCTCCTGATGCCTCTTTCTCTTCTGAACACAGCGTCCGCATGCACTGAACAATTCACCCTGGAGCTTTTCTTTCCTTTCTAAGATTATTTTTAAGTCAGCACACAAAATGCTGGGGTTCTGTGTGACATTTCATGCTGTGTACCCTGTACTTTGGCCACACTCACCCTGGTACCCTGCCTTAACCCCACTTCCTCCCAGAGCTTCCCAGCCAGTTACACTTTTTAAAAAGGCTAACACGTGACTTAAAGCAATCACTGACACTGTCAGGAAGAAACTTTAGAAAGACAGGTGACAAGCTGCTTAAAAGGAGCAAATTAGCAGCCAGGAGCTCTGAAATACCCCACCCATGGCTTCACACTTCAGATGCAGCCAAAGAGGAACCTCTGTTGGGAGACTTCGAGTCTATACAACTTCCCTTTGAGCCTAGGACACACAGCCTGAGGAGAGTTGAACATTTTTAGGCAAATTGGTTTTCTTAGTCTACTGTTTTCTAGGTAATGGAGTGAGCCATGTTTGTCCAGGAGAGGACACTCACACAGTTCAGTTGCAGCACCCACTGTTACTTGGCACGACTCTGGAGCAAAGCATCGTCTAGCTTGCTGCTTCTTTAAATTACAAAAGGAACCCTTGTTCCCTGCAGCATGTCCACGTGTACAGAAGAAAGCAAGGGAACACGAGCTGTGCTCCTCCGCCGTCCTCTGTAGCTCACGTGGCAGGGTAGCTCTGTTAGCACAGCTCCCTGCAGCACACGTCACCCCTAAAACTCCCAGGTTGTGTGTGAATGCACATGCTACCACGCATGTACGGAGGTCAGAGGATGACAAGGAGGAGTCAGGTCTCTCCTTCTACCACATGGATCCTGGGGACGGACGGAACTCGGGTCATCAGGCTCGGCAAGCAGGTGCCTGAACCTGCTGAGCCATCTCTGACCCTGAACTTACCTTTGAAATGAAAGCTATTGTGAGGAACTTCACATCAGTTCACTTCCATCAGTCTTATTTTGAGTAGTTGGTTTTTCTTTACATTGTATATCCAAGCTATAATTTCCTACTGATGACCTTACAAGGAAACATTTAGATAGCTTCTTCATTTTTGATGTCAGAAACAATACTGTATAGTACACAGATTATTATCTGTTATCTATTCCTGTGGAACAAATTTTCCCCAAATGTAGAGCCTTATGAATCGAATCAGGCATTTATTAATCTGTTGAAATAGCTGGGTCTCATCTGGATGTTTATAAATCAAGGTCTCTCCTGAGTTTGAGGACAGGTACCACTAGGACTACAGTGTCACCTTGGGGAGGCACTGCTGAACTCACTGGTATGGCTGCTGGAAGCTCAGGAAAACCCATTCCAAACTTGGAGATTGCTACTGAAAGTCCTCACAAGTGCCAGATGATGATGGGAGAGGGCTCCGAAGACGGAGGCCTCAGGCCTTCTACACTCTCCTGTCAGAGCTGCTCACACATATGGCCTGCTATTTTTTGTCTGAATGGGTTTAAGTCCAGCTCACGGTCCAGGGAAGGGATTAGAGACCAGGGACAGGGAGGTGAGGATTCTTAGGGTACACCTGGTACAGGGTGCCCAACAGAGTTGTAAAATGGAGTTAGTAGGTCAACGGTTGATAAACCTTAAACTCCTGGGTGCTCTGTCAGCTGTCACTATCTGAACAGTTTGTCACTTCACACTCTGACCAGTGCAGAGTCCTTCTAAATAGAGGACATTTTAAGTCTTTAGAAGTTCTGACAACCTCATAGGTAAAATTGTTGCATTTTCATTCTTTTTTTTTTTTTCTCGATACAAGGTTTCTCTGTGTAGCCCGGGCTGTCCTGGAACTCACTTTGTAGACCAGGCTGTCCTCAAACTCAGAAATCCACCTGCCTCTGCTTCCCAAGTGCTGGGATTAAAGGTGTGTGCCACCACTGCCCGGCTGCATTTTCATTCTTTTTTTTTTTTTTTTTTTTTTTTTTGAGACAGGGTTTCTCTGTGCAGCCCTGGCTGTCCTGGAACTCACTCTGTAGACCAGTCCGGCCTCAAACTCAGAAATTCACCTGCCTCTGCCTCCCAAGTGCTGGGATTAAAGGCGTGCGCCACCACTGCCCGGCTGCATTTTCATTCTTAATAGTCTAAAAATTATATATTTATTCACAGCTTTTATTTTTCTGATTTTTTTAAATAAAGACTTTTGAGACAGGATCTGATACCTGAAGTGAGCCTTGATAAAAGTCCTCCTGCCTCTGCCTTCAAGTGCTAGGACTGTAGGTGTGTACCATCATGCCTGGCGATTTTCTTCGCCTTTGAATTGCACATTCATGTTGCCTTTTAAAATCAAGTTTATTTGGTATCATGTTGTCTGGGGTGTAACAAAGCCATAGGAAAAAACTCTTGCTTGACATATACTAGTCTCTGGGGTTTATTCCTATAAACACAAAAGAAAAACAACGTTGCTCAGAGCCCCAGCACAGGGGAGGCGGAGGCAAAAGAAGCATGTGCTCAAGTCCAGCCTGGGCTACAAAGCACGGCTCGGGCCCAGAACAAATGTACTTGGCATTTGTCTAACACTTCCACTTTAAACAAGGGAGAAGTCCCTAGTTGAACTTGATAGTTGCTCCTGGCATCTGGCACAGAGACACTGTTAGCTAATGTCTAGTATTAGGCTAACAACTAAGACTGCATACATTCTAAGACCATAATTTTTATCCCACAACACCTCAAGTTGGGGAGGACAACAGAGCTTGCAGTTTATGTTTGTCTTGTCATAATGTGATTTTATTCTATTTCCATTTAAAATGTTGTATTTTTTATATATAGATGTTTTGTCTGTGTGTATGTCTGTATACCATGTGCATGCCTGCCCTCAGAGGGCAGAGAGGATATTGATCCCCTGGAACTAGAGTTACGGATGGTTGTGAGCAGGGATGTGGTTGTGAGGAACTTGGGTCTTCTGCAAGATCAGGCAGTGCTCTTAACTTCTGAACTGTCTCTCCAGCCATCCACCTAGACATGGGCAGAGAAGACCTGAGCATGTACAGAGAACACAGGAAGGTATTCAGTATCATGGTCACTAGGAGAGCAAAGTGCAAACCTCAAGCCTGTGGGTCTCACTTTGAGTTCTCCATAAATGCATGTGTTATTCGAAGGGAGCATAATTAAACCAGGCTTGGTAGCTCTGACCTGCAATCCCCTCAGGAGGCTGAAGCAAGAGGATTACCTTGAGTTCCAAACCAGCCTAGGACACAGAGTGAAAAGACCTTGTCTCAGAAAAAAGAAGAAGAAGAAGAAGAAGAAGAAGAAGAAGAAGAAGAAGAAGAGGAGGAGGAGGAGGAGGAGGAGGAGGAGGAGGAGGAGGAGGAGGAGGAGGAGAAGAGGAGAAGGAGGAGGAGGAGGAAGAGGAGGAGGAGGAGGAAGAGGAAGAGGAAGAGGAAGAAGAGGAGGAGGAAGAAGAGGAGGAAGAGGAAGAAGAAGAAGAAAATGACCCAAAGGGGATCTATAATAAAAGGGTATTTGGATGTCAGGAGAACCTTTAGGAGACTGGCGTCAGATAGTCTGGAGAGTAACAGAAATCCAGACCGTAGGGAGCCACTACCTAGTGTGTGGGTTAGTTACTTTGCAGTTGTTGGAACAAAACACCATGACCAGAGGAGTTTATTAAAGAAAGCCTTGAATCCCAGCACTCAGGAGGCAGAAACAGGAGGATCTCTGTGAGTGCCAGGCTAGGGTTGTTGACACAATGAACTGAGTTCCAGGACAGCCAGGCCTTCATAGGTAGACCCTGTCTCAAAGAAATAAATAAAAATAAAGTTTAATTGGGTTTACAATTTGAGAGGGTTAGAGTCCACTGTGGCAGCAGGAACAGCTGAGATCTTATATATCAGAACTGCAAGTAGGAGGCAGAGAAAACTAAGTGCCTATGGCACCTGTCATTTGAAACTTCATAGCCCACCCCCGGTGTCACACCTCCTCCTCCAAGGCCACACCTCCTAATCCTTCCCAAATAGTTCCATCAGCTGGGGACCAAGTATTCAGACACCCAAGACTTACAGAGACCATCTCAATTCAAACCACCCCATGGGTGTCTGGCTTAGCTCGCCTCAGCTGTATTTGAGCAGCTCCATCTCCTACTGCCTCCTCCCTCACGGCATGGAATCAGAACGGATGGTGGCATCCCACATTCTGCTCACACTGAAGCCTCTGCATGCTTTCCCAGGGTAGTGCCGACTTCTCACATGCCCTAGATTTCTAAGCTCTCTTAGTTGGCCTGCAAACGAAGGCACAACTTAAAAATATTCATTTTTGTTTGTTTGTTTGTTTTGTTTTGTTTTTTTCGAGACGGGGTTTCTCTGTGTAGCCCTGGCTGTCCTGGAACTCACGCTGTAGACCAGGCTGGTCTTGAACTCAGAAATCCGCCTGCCTCTGCCTCCCAAGTGCTGGGATTAAAGGCGTGCGCCACCACCGCCCGGCGTGTGTGTGTTTTCTATGGCACTCTTTCCAAGAGAAGGAGATGGAGATCTCCATCAGACACTCAAGTATGTGCATGTGATGAGCTACCTGCAGAGTGAAGGCTGTCTCCAGCCTGCCTCTGTGCTCTTCTCCAAAGAGGTCCTTTTCACAGCCAAGGATCCTTCAACTAGTCAACCAGGGTAACTTAAGAACTGAGTGCTCAATGCTAGATACAAAAGAGAATAAATCTACCAAGGTGTCTGTGGCCATCTGATAGCCATGCAGTTCGAGGGACAACAGGAAAATGTGACTGTCTAGCCAGAGCCTCCGAATTAAGTCTGACAGCCCACTTCTTTCATCTTCTCCAGATAAGGACTGCAGACTCAGAGAGTCCACCAAGACCACACATCACAGAGCTACTAAGTTGCAAGGCTTAGCCTCAGACAAGGCCTGGTTTCTGCCAGAATGCCGGAGCATGAAATTATGTCTGTGCTTTTTTAGAAAGGGTCTGACCAGTATCTCCCATATCCTTGTAAATATGCCACAATACCAAGATAGCAGCATGTTAAAATTCAGCACAGGGACTTAATACATTTAGACCCAGCAGTCTCCTCTTCTTGAGATACATTCAAGGCCCCTAGTGGATGCCTGAACCTCAGAGTACTGAACCCTCTAAGTACTTTTTCAAATACATATATAGCTATGATAGAGAATAATTTATAAATTTATAAAGTGTAACTTATAAATTAGGTACACTAAGATAGTAACAATATTTGTTAATATTAAAACAACATATTGCAGTAAAAGTTATACAAATTAGTACCCTACATCTTCAATTGATCTGTTAACCAAGACTGCTTCTCGGTGACTAAGTGGTGGAGGACGGAGAGTGGACACAACTAATAACGTAAAGACCTGACTGGGCATGGCATGCTCTCCTGTAGACCTAGCACTCCTAGGACTCGGGAGGCCTAGGCAAGAGGGTCTCTTGGGGCCAGGAGTTCATGACCATCCCAGGCAATATAGCAAGAATCTGTCTCAAAACAAAACAGTAACAAGACCTTTGGGTAGATGTACAAGATTCTGTCTCACTACTCAGAATGGCATGCAATTTAAAACCTAAGAGTGGTTTACTCCTGGTATTTTTCCATTTAATACGCTCAGACCTCAGGTATACAAAGTACTATACTGCCAATCAATCAAACCACACAGATTTCTCACAAAAACAAAATCAAACCAAAAAACAATCTTGTAGTCAGCTTTATAAAACAAACTTTACTGGCTCATCATGGTTTAGCCTGTTTGTATGACTGCAGCTCCTGACATCTTTCTGGTGGTACTGGGCCTTGAACAAAGGTCTCGTGCATGGGTGACAAGGAAGCAGCCTACACTGGCCTACCCACAGCTAACTGTAACTTCAAAGGCAGCACAGATCCTAAGTTCCCTAAGCGAAGGGCTGCCTAGGTGACTTGCAGAAGCAGCTAATGGTAGCTTCTCAAAAATGAGCCTGAGTCTAGACAAACTTCATGGTGAATTTGTGTACTTCCAAACCTAGGGAGGCCCTCTGAAAGGTTGGTATCAGTAGTGCTGTCCAAATACGAAAAGATTTTTCTCAACACAGATAGTGCGGTTACTTACTCATCAATTAAAATGAGAACCACCTTCTCAGTATCATGCTCCCAAACACTACATGTGACAAAAAGCAAAACCTTACAAGGTTACTCTGGTATCTGATTTAAAATGTCATGAGCTGGGACTTGGGGCACACACACCTGTATCCTCAGCATTTGGGAGGCAGAAGCAGGAACTGAAGGTCAGCCTGCACTAAACGGCAAGTGGGTTACAAAGGCAAGTGGGTTACAAAGACACCGTTCTCAAGAAAAAAGAAGAAGAAGAAGAAGAAGAAGAAGAAGAAGAAGAAGA